ACTCCTACCTTCTTAAGTGCCAGAGAAAGAAAGTCTATTTTTATTAATTCAAAACCTTTGTCTGATTTAGAGAGGTTTTCATCCGTTTACAAATTCACGCTTTATATCATCTTTTTCTGTAAACAAAGGCCACAAAGTCATTGATCCGTCGAATAAATCCTGCAAAATTTCTATATTTTTCTTCTTCTTAAAACCTTTAACTCCTCTTGGAGCATAAAGCTTCTATACTCCTTTTAATTTCATTCTGTTTCCAGCAACTTGACTGTTGTCGTTCCATGTAAAATTCCTAGAGTTCCTAGTATAATTGTATAGAGTTCCTCTGCACAATAACATAAAACCGTTAAAAACCAAAACCAATTAAAACCAATAAAGATATCTTTATAGAGTGACAATAATAAAAAAAACTCAAGTGAGTTTTTCTTTCTTTGTATATCAGTTTGGTCAAAAGTAATAGAAAGATTTTAGATATACACATTAATCAACTCAAACTATAAATTCATTAGACTTCATTAAACGCCGCAACCTAGCAAGTCTAGTATTTGATATATAAACAACATTTCGTATTTCATATAAAATATTCAGATCCACATAACGATAACAAATTGCTACAAAATAATCTTTTACAGTTAAGAATCTATTGAAATATATAGCATTCGATTATTAAGAATATCTTTAAAATTAAATATTAATGCTCACGGCAGAGTCAATTCTAAACAACATAATTTGAACAATGGCGAATGAAAGATCATAAAAAAAACCTTAATATATTCTATATCTTTCTTTAGAACTGCTTTCGTTAATATTCCATTTCAATCACATTTACAAAATATTATTATATCATTTAACAAAAATTTACCGGCACTGTCCTATGATTTTTTAAAGAAAGAAGCAATTAAATATTAGGTATCCTTCTTCGTCTGCTAAAGGAATAGAGGCAATAGAATTACGTGAGTCATTATATATAGTGCTGTCTTTGACTGATCTAAACCATATAATAATATAAAACCTTATTTTTTCAGAATTCGCCCTTCTTTTTGAATACATCGATAGTGATGGTAGTGTGAAGTTCAATTGATGCTAATATTCCTATAGTGACACTGTTCAGCCAGAACTTTACTTATTTGTACTTTCCTTTTACTGTTAAAGCAGTAACTAGGTAAATTGTTTCAAATAGTCTTTACTCAACACAGTTTAGCTAAGTCTATGATTTTTCCTTTATACATATTATGTTCAGATCAATTGTTTTCCATTATAATTTTCTATGGAAAATATTCGTTCTTTATTCTTTCCATAATAATGCTTTAAGGATTTAGGTGAGCATAAGCATCTGCATCTGCTATAAATTAACTAAACAATGTAATTAAAATGTTTAATATAAAATGTAAAACATAGTTGGAGATACGTCCAATCAGTACCTGAACTATTTATTGAGAATCTAAGACAGCTTTATGAGTACTTATTTGTTTGTAGTCACATAATCATGTATGATTCAAAACATATCGATTTTTAAGGGCTTTGCCGTGGCTCTAAAATCCAAGACTCAAGACTCAAAGGTCTTTTGAAAAAAAGTGAAGCGTCACAACAATTTTTGATCGAAGATTCACTGGGGTCAGCAGTGATATATATTTATATATATATTTTGTTATAAGGAAACTACCATATTATTGTAACTATATTTTAAGTATATTGAAAGTATAAGTATATCGAAATAGTTCCTTATGATAAAATCTTAATTCAAGTTCTAAATTAGCTAAATTAATTTCAATTTCACTTAAACAATTAATATTAAAATATATTATTTAAGTGGTGCACGACAGGTGAATTGAAATTAAAACCTAATCACCAACAAAATAAAAAACGAAAAAAGTGAATCAGCAAAAAACTATTTTTACCTTTATTTTATATTAAAAATACGAAATACCAATGAGCTTCATAAATCCAAACAAAAAAAAAAAAGATACATTTTTTGGTAGTTTGCTTATAAAATAATTTTTGGCATGGTAACATAATAATTTAAGACAACAGCCGACCAACTCATTCATGACAAGCATAAAAAGCAATTGTTTAGGTAAATATCTCACTCAATTAAAAGTGTAAAAATTATCTACTGAATAAGTGCCTATTAAATCTTATAGATGGTCTCTGCGCTACAGCCAATATCTACTGCACTTGACAAAGTGTATGCACTTGAGCTCAACTCAAGATGTGCTTATTGCCTTAATTAAAAAATTAAAAATTATTAATGAGTTTTTCTATTTCTTCAAGCACTATAAACTTTTTGAACTGAATATAGATAATAAAATTTTGATTATAGTTTGGATCTAACAATATTACAATGAAATTTTAAACGATTGGAAAAATAGTTCGCATATTAAATTAATGCTAATTGTTACACAGTTTCTTCTAGATATCTAAGATACATTTTATGTTAAGCATATAATGTATCTATAAAATAAACCAAAAAATAAAATCATCAACCAATTAAAACTTATTGAGTTACCATCAAAGTAAGACTTATCATGTTTATTCTGTCAGCGTTTGATACAATCCTTCATACATTCTTCGCTGACTAGCATTTAGTTCCTTGAACGATATTTCTCTTGTGGCCAAATAGTAAGATTAGTTTCAGAAACAGAGAAACTTAACCCGCACCATAATAGATGAGTACTATACTGTTTGGTTAATCATATTCATTGAACATCTCACGAAATATTCTTACCAATTTACAATATATCCGGGCCTTATCTTTTATCCACCTTTCTCAAATTGTAATTTTGGGGCACATACTGCAGTAAATGTAAATAAGTTTGTACTAAGACCCGATTCCAATTTCCCGGACACCCCATTTGGCTAAGTATTTTGGTAAAGCCAGCTATTTTGAACAACTTTTTTCACTCCGCTCTATTTAATTTAGTTTAGTTTTTGAGATATCTTGTACTTCCACACTAGGAAATTTTTAGATAAGGGCTACATTCTGTCACGTCTATTTGTTACTGCCAACTGTTTGTGTTGTTGTGTTTCCATTCCAGAATTAGAGTTTAAACCTCTTTTATTGTCTTATGTAGGTGATTACTTTGGTGATTCACTAGTAAACATAGATATTATTTTTAATGCATTGACTAAAATAAATCAAGTTTTCTACAAGATATCAGACTTTGCAGTACCATCTGCCATTGGTGACTTGTTAATTTGATTTTGCATTGTAGTGAGTATTCATAGTAACGAAGAGGTTAAGATCTTTGTCCTCAACAAACCTATTGTATTTTCCTGTGTTTGTTCGAATTTCTTAAATACCAAGGGCTTTTACCAATTTTCGGAGAACTTTATTTTGATATGATTGAAATTTCTTTAACATATGATATGTAGTCGTAGCTGCTTTGTCAAACTAGTTGTTTGTATAATCTATGTAAAAATTACATATACTGGTTGGCATTAGATGAAGTGTGTAGTTTTTTATATTATAAGTGTACTCAATGTAAAAAGTTGAATCCCGATATCATGAGGTTTGCAGTGTATAAGTTTGTAGTTCGAGACCAAATGGGCGTGCTCTGGAAAATTGAAATCGCGTAATCCGGTGATTTTTTCTTAAGTTCCCTTCTTAAAAAATTCTAAAAATGCTTGAAATTAATTTAAAAGCCTTTTTATGTATAGAATATATATTTGAGTGATAGGTTAGGTTAGGTTTGTTATAATAACTCTGTATTAACCAGGGTGAGTCATATTTTTGTGATATCTTTGGTTAATTTCTTCTTCTAAAGAGAATTTACTTTTAAATTCGTTTAACTTCTTTAAAATTTTACTATTATTATTATATCATGTCCCGACTGCAGGTAAAGCAACTTATGTTAATCAAATTGAGATTTGGTCGTTTCCATTGGCATAAGTTGATTTATGCATGTGAAAGAGTTGTTATGTGTCGAAAGTTTGCGGAAAGCTTTTGTTTGTTTACATATCCAATTAAAATGAAAATTTTTTGTCAAATAATATATGTAATTGTAAAATTATATGAAATATATATTTGTTATATAAACTTAATTATATATATTTTTATAGATCAATGATATCAATTTTATTTATAAGGAACAAACATTTAAAAAATGTTTAACTCTTGTTTATTTGAGTTGTTTGTTTATTGTTTATCTACATTTTGTTTCATGTGTCAAATATGTCATAATTCGATCATTTCCCTTTTGAGAAATATGTTGTGCAATGTTGCATTGGACATTTTGGTATAATTTCCCATGATCTATTCTTAACAATATCAAGCACGAAAGCTCTTTGTATGGGTAATTAAATTTCATTAGCAAGCTAAATTAATGAAATTGCCTTAACAATGGCAGTGGAAACATACTCTTAGGCTATTATTATATAACATACTATAGAGTGCTTAAGAAAGTTATTAATGATTTCACACTTATGTATACCTTTCCATATGTACATATATGTGAATATTATCTACCCTCGGAGTAATGTGTAGCATATCCATCTCAGTCGGTAAGTTTAACAGATTACTATATTATGAATTATCACATCTTTTGTTTTATGACTTGCGCAGGTTCAGGTTAATAAAAGGTGTGTAAGAAGTTTGGGTGCAAATCACCGTTAAAATGATTAATAAAAAAATATTTGACGCACAATGCATGCGTTGTAACTAATAAATTTCAAAAAATATTCAAAACAATATAAAAAAATTACTAGAAAGGGAAAATTAAACAATAGCATGGATCACAAAAAAAAAAAAAAACAAAAAAATAATAATAATAAAAAATTAAAATTAAATAAAAAGCAAAAATGATTTTATTTTGGTATTTACTGACCCCACAAACTCTTTTACCTTAAGTCATGTTAGCCTTACCAGTGTAATTTACTATAAAAACAAAACCGATTGCCTGATTGATTATTATTCACACCACGTACTCTGAAGAGGGAGGACAAAGTGTTCAGTTGATTTTATTTCAGAGTTTTGCATTTGCAACAAAATATTATTTAACAACTATAAAATGGCCTTCAAGGTATATACAAATTTTATAAATTTTGTTATTGTTTTGGTTTTATTGTAGCTTCGATTCCACCAAAGACGACTTAAGTTTGCACATACAGTTTTTTCCATATGAATTTCATTGATGAATATTACAAGATACGTACGAGCATATCGCTGAAAGGTTGACCTAAATTTATTGCAATGCAATTTTGTGCGAAGTTCAGGTGGAAAAAACACAAACATGCAATTCATTAATTTATTCAAGGCTATCACATAACCCATTAGTTTAACCTCTTCAACTTTTGTTTCTCGTACCAGTTCTTAATAAGTTTCGCTGTGATTGCTGTAGCCAGTGCCGACCTAATTCCTTTGCAACAACATGAATACGCCGCAGAACATCAACCAATTTACCACAGCGTACCAGCAACTCATGTATCAGCACCTCAGCATGTTATATTGCAGAAGCATCATGGTGAGCACGAACAATATCCCGATGATCCACACCCACAATACAACTTTGCCTATGATGTGCAAGATGCTGTTTCCGGTGACTCGAAGAGCCAAACTGAAAGTCGTGATGGCGATGTTGTTCACGGAGAATATTCATTAACTGATGCTGATGGTTTCCGTCGTACAGTGAAATACACCGCTGATTCTGTAAATGGCTTCAATGCTGTCGTGCATCGTGAACCACTAACACACAAAGTGGTTGCCGCTGCAGCTGTACCAGTGCATCAATACCAACATGCACCAGCTGTCACTGCAGTCAAGGCTCCCGTTGCATATGTAGCTCCAACCTATGCATCTCTTCCGGCTCATCATGAACAACATAATCAATACGCTACATACGAATCTCCTGAACATAATGGCAGTGGTTACTATCATCATTAAACCAATTTGACTTCATGTTACTTACATTTGCATTGCACAGAGAAATCTTCAAACATAAAATTCATCTCCCATAGATTAAGGTTTTGTTATTTAGTTTTTTAATAAATGAAATATGAACTCAATAAACATTTTTTTATATATTATATTGAAGGATATTACTAGTAATGAAATACGTATATACCTTTCATTAATCCAACGTCTACACTAACCAGACTTTGACGAGATTTTTTCATGCACGCTCCTACTAATGCATACAAATTTATTTTTACATACAAAGTTCAAAAATAATAAGTATTTCAATGGGATCATAAAAATATTTCCTAAATCTATCGATTCTGGATTAGATTTTTTTAGTCTTAGCCCTGATTTTAAGGTGATAGACAATGAAATTATTAATCCGACCAGATAAAAAAGAAATGTTTTAGGGCCAGTTTTATATGTAATATATGTGGCCGTGTATAGAAAAAAGAACCTAATCTGTCAGGGAAATTATTAAGGACATTTCTCTAATTTGAAATCTGCATCAGCGTCCACCTCCTAATTTAACTTCTGGGTATGTTAAAAAAAATGGGTATAGGACCTATAAAATATGTAGGTAGGTAGGTTGGAGTGGCGGCCTTGTATAAAATATGTGCACTATTAAAACTTTTGAACTACACCAAATTCATCATCATCACCCGTGACTATGCAGTCCACGTAGGACTTAAATCTGTTTAACAATAGTCTTCCATTCTTCTCTGTTTTTTGTTTTTCTTTTCCAATTTCTTATATTCATTATTTCTAAGTCCTACTGCACACTCTCTTCCATCGTTTTCTTTGTCACCCTCTTCTTCTAGTAGTTCGTACATCGCTCTCATAAATTTTAAGCGGTGCTCTAATATCCGACATTCTTATCACATGTCCAACCCATCTTAATCGCTGCTTTTCATAAATTTGTTGATTGTGTCACCTTCGGCTAGCCGTTCTAGCTCCTGGTTGTATCTTATGCGATACATCCCGTTTTCTTTCACGAGGCCAAAAAATTTTGTAAGTATTTTTCTTTCAAACACTACTATCTTGCTTGCTTCAGTTTCAGTTAATCTGGAATAATCAATGTATTGTACATTTTTAGTTTTGTTTTTTGCGAAATATTATTACTCGTAATACAACTAATTCATATTTGGGTAATAAGTCACGGAGAGTAATGGGCAATGTAGTATTTAAGTATAAGTGATTTATGGAAATTTGCATTTATATTTCTAAATCTATTATCAAACAGAACACACTTAGGCACCTCATATGTAGTATCAGAGATCACATAAGATATGCTCATCTCCTGGTTATATTCAGTAAGTTTATGTTCAAAAAATTTTTTTACTTGACCTCAAAAGTTTCATTTTGCAATTTTATTGCTTTGAAACTCCGTAGTCTCTCCAATCTTTTTAGATGAAATATCTTTATATTTAAATTAAAATAAACCATGAAATTATAATTAAAATGCCTTGCATAGGAGATACCTAAGAAAAACTATAATTTATCTCTATTTATAATCTGTATCAAAATTTATAAATAATATTTTTAAAAATATAACTAATTACTTTTAGTAGAAATAATAAATGTTAATTACTAGAGAGGTTTCGAACTGCAATAACAAAAATTTTTATTTATTTTTAATTAATTGTATTTTTGGCGGACCATACAGCTGTTTCGAGTATTTCCGAATACCCATTATCAGTGGTGTAGAAATAATTTCTTATTTTTCATTATTCATATATAATTTGTTGAGATTGTAAGTACCAATGGTTGAACTCCTTTGATAGAGTACAAAATCCATTAATTAAATACAATATATATAAAAAGAATTTTTTGTTGTTGTAGTTAACTACTTTTCGAGTCCTTTCTATTAAATATATTAGTTTCTGTTAAGTAAAAGAGTTATGACTGACGTTAAAATCAAATTTAATATTAAATTTTAATTACTTAAAAATCTCTAAGATTATACTTTATTGGAAACAAAAATTAGAAATTTCTAATGTAGGGAGTTACACATAATTTTGTTGTAATATCCTAGCTTTGGACTATTTTTTAAAGTTCATCTTAAAGTAGTACATATCTTATTAAATAAATAAAATTAATTTATTAAAAATTTAAATACATTATTCACCTATTTGGGCATAAGAGCTTCATAAGAGCCTATTCGCATCGCATTCCCCATTATAATAAAGTTATAAATTCAGAAATAATTCTAGAGACGATAGAGGCAAAACGCCCTTAACAAATGGAATCCGATGAGAGTGCTTATAATGTTAAAGAAAATATTATTTAGCTATATATTTCTTTAAAAAGATCTATGTATGATACTTAACTGATTATATGAAATACATTATGTATTAATTTAATATTTAGTTAATATAGAATATCAGTATTGGGCACGTAACCACCAAGATATAAGTGACATATGATTAGCAATTTTGATTTATTTCAATTTTTCTAAATTTATTGATAATATTGACTAATAAAAATATATATTCGTACATTATCTATATTATTGTTTATACTAAATCCAAATTAATATTACTATATTATTTTGATTCGTTAAATATTTTTTTATGTTTATGTATGCAGCCATTTTTCACAACTTTTTTTTGTCCTACTCATCTAGAATACACTAATATTAATTTTGCTGCAACACCATAAATTTAAAAAACTGTATGGATCTGATAACAGAAAGATATACTATCTTTTTGCTTTTCTTATTCGATTTATTATATTAAGCCATTCTGCACTACTGAAAGCAGATTAAAAACGAAAACATGAAATCTGATCATTTTCGGACTTAAACTGAATAAAAATTGCAAAGAATTAGAAAACCAGTTTCTACACTTGTACGAGTACATATCCGGTAGGTAAGTGAATTGAAGCAAATAAAATGAAGAAAAAAGTGTAAAAAATTTTATTGCTCCGTATTGAGATACATTGTCGACAGTAAAAGGCAACCAAAATAATTGCTCTAATTCGTTATGGACATGACTTAACGTTTTGCACGCATCTGATTCAATGTTGCCCTTTAGTTACACATTTTTTGTGTACTTTTATGTGTGATAAGAGAGCATTGATTACCACAACCGCAATTATTCGAATAGTTCAAGTTGGGCTAATTAAACAAACGCAATCGATCTGTATAAAACGTGCCAGCTGCGCAGTTGCTTCTCATAAACTTTTAAGACTTCAATATATCAACACATTTATTCGTCACTATTACGAAAATCAAAATGGCATTTAAGGTTTGTTAGCTCTAAATCAATAGACATCCTGTAGCCAAGTATTTTCGAGATAATCAAAATCCTTCTTTTTCAGTTCCTCGTTGGATTCGCATTCATTGCTGTTGCCAGTGCTGGTTATGTGCCTGCTCCACAAGTATATCATGCAGCTCCAGCAGCCGTTGTCAAGACTGTTGCTCCATTAGCTTATGCTGCTCCAGCGGCTGTCGTCAAAACAGTAGCTCCAGTCGCATATGCTGCTCAACCAGTTTTGGCAAAAGCAACTGAAGAATATGACCCACATCCACAATACAAATATGGCTATGATGTTCAAGATGCTCTTTCCGGTGACTCAAAGAGCCAAGTTGAGGAACGTGATGGTGATGTAGTTCGTGGTGAATATTCCTTAATTGATGCTGATGGTTTCAAACGTACCGTTCAATATACCGCCGATCCAATCAATGGTTTTAATGCCGTAGTCAACCGTGAACCTCTCGTCAAGACTGTTGCAGCTGTCAAAACTATTGCTCCCGTTGCATATGCTGCTCCTGTAGTCAAAACTGTTGCCCCAGTGGCTCACTATGCTGCTCCAGCTTTAGTTAAAACCGTTGCTCCAGCTTACACCACCTACTCTGCACCTGCTACATATGTCGCCCATCACTAAATGCCATTTTCGTTAAACATATGTGACTGATTGTGAATAATGATATACAAAACTAAATATAATATATACGTAGTCAAATTAAATTAAAAAAGGTTTATTATTTGAAATAATTTTGAAATACTAACTTTATATCAGATATAACAACAAAATGAATATATTAGGAAATTATAATATTAGCAAACTCACCCAACTGGGAACTTGCTGAATATAGCTTCCGGATAATCGTATTGAAAATCTAGTTCTGATTAGTCGTTATAGTTATTTATATGACATTGCATAGCAAATTAAAAGTATCAGTTTTTCTTTTTGTACGTATTTATGTACTATAATTACTAATTTCGATTCAGGACCAATACTAAAAAGCCTCACATTTATCATATAGTATCGTTATCCGATCTGTATAATCTGATGACTACCATGTTAAACTTTTCAGAACAGTGAGAATTAAATTTGGAATTATGTGTGTTATGTATTCATGTCATATATGTATATGTATATATTTCAGTAAATAACATATTACTTTAATTAAAATTGTAGGATAATATAATTATATTGGAATTTCATCTTTAATTTTAATATTTAATGCCTAAAACTTTAAACACTATAGTAAAGTTTATTTCGTTTGATTACTTCTTCGATCATGGAAGCATATAATAATTAGGTACCTTAACTTCAGTAAAAACATCGGAATGGAAACACATAATGTTACCTTATTGCTCTATCACTCTTTATTTTGTATTTGATTCTGTAGATCCAAAAAAATATATAGACGATATAGATATAGACGAATCCAGAAAAATAAAAAATTACTGAAGTAAAGTTGTCTGCTAACAAGTTTGACTCTTATTATATAGAGCAAGCATTTAATGTCCTTGATGCGATGAACGCAAATTCTTCAAATGACAATCTTCATAAGAATTTTGAATTTTTAAATTTTTAAGATTTCAGAAATTATAAGAATTTAAAAAAAAATAAAGAGATATACACTAGAACTCTAATTATTCATAAATTAATTGTTCATCCATTAATTATCATTGCATATAAACAAATCTAACAATTGTTTCTTCTCATTTTTTTCCATTGACTGCGGAGATATTCTAGAATATATATAAAATATGGATTATTTGATATAATCGCTTGTTTTAACTTCAATTCCTAAATCATATATATGATTTATTGTATTATTAAAAATGAAATTTACCTTATCCACGTTCTGGTGATAAATAAGACCGAGAAGCCTTTAAAATGACCCCCATCGAGAAGTTTGGAGACATCCCCATTTTATGTAACCCTACAAGTACATCTAATTACAAAAAGATCTACGTAAAGTTCCTGTAGTTTATCATAATAAAAACGAAGGTAAAATGAAAAGAATCAGGAGATAAAAATAACATTTTTTAAAAGAAAATCATGATTTATAATTATGCATTGACAATCACTTTAGATAAACCTCAATCTTAAAATATCAGGAAATTGAAATTGAAAGCCTTTCTTAATATATACTAAATTTTGATTCCCACTACTATATAACTGAAAAAAAAAAAATAATTTCTTTATAGTATAATATAATAGAACTAAGATGTAAAAATATACTTAAAAACCAGTTAATGATTGTTTCATATATAGAACTTTTCAAAAACATCTACTATAAAAATTAAATTCAATAAATGCAGTTTGAAAGTAATTTACTTTATTTTTCATTTATATATTTTATATATATTTATATATCTTTATTCACAATCAGTCACAGATGTTTAACGAAAATGGCATTTAGTGATGGGCGACATATGTAGCAGGTGCAGAGTAGGTGGTGTAAGCTGGAGCAACGGTTTTAACTAAAGCTGGAGAAGCATAGTGAGCCACTGGTGAAACAGTTTTGACTACAGCTGGAGAAGCATATGCAACGGGAGCAATAGTTTTGACAGCTGCGACAGTCTTGACGAGAGGTTCACGGTTGACTACAGCATTAAAACCATTGATTGGATCGGCGGTATATTGAACGGTACGTTTGAAACCATCAGCATCAATTAAGGAATATTCACCACGAACTACATCACCATCACGTTCCTCAACTTGGCTCTTTGAGTCACCGGAAAGAGCATCTTGAACATCATAGCCATATTTGTATTGTGGATGTGGGTCATATTCTTCAGTTGCTTTTGCCAAAACTGGTTGAGCAGCATATGCGACTGGAGCTACTGTTTTGACGACAGCCGCTGGAGCAGCATAAGCTAATGGAGCAACAGTCTTGACAACGGCTGCTGGAGCTGCATGATATACTTGTGGAGCAGGCACATAACCAGCACTGGCAACAGCAACGAAGGTTAATGCTACGAGAATCTGTTAATAAATAGAATATAATTTCTTTTAATTATTAATAAATAAATTAAGTTTAGGGATAAAAATTCTGTATTAGTTGATCAGGTCCCCGTACCTTAAATGCCATTTCGAATATGTTTGTTAAGTGACTATAAGCAAATGTTGCTTTATTGAATTAAACTTTGGTTGTAATGATGCAAACTAACAGTGCCGAGTTTTTATAACAAAATTTGGCCAATTGCTCTAATTTTCTTGTAAATGGTACTTCGGTGAGGTATTATTACTTTTTCGTTTGTTTGAGTTTCTTTATTTTGTCGTTCATTTGGTTTGTATTATTAACAAAATATATGGCAAAGTAAATAAGAAAAGGTGTGTCGAAAAATTCAGCATTGACAAGACAATTAGTTTATATTTTCTTTAAGTGTCCAGTCATCTGAACAAATCAATTTGGTTGAATCTAAATTTTGGTTAGTCTAAATTTGATTTGTGGTCTGCATTGCATTTATTTAATTTTGACTCTGAGTCTAACATATATGTAGTTTTGGTTAAAACGATATAGTAAAATTAATTAATTTGCTATTTTTAATAGAAAATTGAAGGAAATTTCGTAATTAGTAGTTAAATAATTAGTGTCTAGAATAAGTTCTTCTTAAGTAGTGAATTGAGCTTTATCTGTTTAAAAAATACTTGAAAATGTAGTTGGTATAATATGAGAAATAAATTTTTGTTAAGGAGCTGGTGTGTTTTATTAATTCACATCCTTAAGTTATACATCGAGTATTTATATCGGATTTAATATATATTACCGACTAAAAAGTAATTGCATGTCTTTATCTTGTATATCTTGTTGTACATATATATCTCTATCAAGGTGTAGAGCGAAATATTAAATAGTTTCTGTGAGCGATTTGAGAAAAGTGTTTGAAACAAATTATGTAGATGATCTCTGCACTCATTAGATATGCAATGTACATACGCTGTCATATCCAGGATTTTACTGTTAAATAATTAATTCTGAAAGGAGAAATTATTGTATAATATAAAATACTAAACTAATAGACTTAGTTTAATAAAAACCTATAGCAATGTTAAGGCTTTTCCACATTAATAAAGAATTTATCGCCAGATCGATGGGTGTACTACTTTGTGTTGATTATTAAATCAATATCGGGAAAGTAGCGTCATAATGTTAATGGAATATATCAGTACACAAGATCTTGTACTTATAAATCAGTACACAAGATTTTATATTTAAGTGTCAATTTCTAATGCCATCTGCTAGGTGCTTACGTTTAATGATTTTAAAAGTTTAAATTATATATTAAATTAAGTAAACTGAGTAAATTATATTTTAACATATATTAAAAATTACGAAATTAGTATAAAAATTTAATTTTTTATTTACGGGCTTCTTCAATTATAGTAAGTATATTGTTCTTCAATAATTTACACTCGTCCCTGGTCATCAAACACTGACTAAATATTATTTCATAAATAAAATATTACGAAATATTTTTTCTTATATCTCCAACTTAATTCTTTGAAAATGTCAGTTTCAGTAAAATAAATGTGCGGATGGACTTGAAATCAGTACCAAAATTGAACTATGAGAAGAGTTTCAAATTATTATTTAGATGAATATTGAATAAATCCTAATGAATTTTTTGTTTATTAGTTTAATACATATATACGTTTCATTTTAATTCAGAAATAAAATTATTCTCTATCATTATTTTCTCTAAAATTTCTCTATTTTTTTTCTAAAAAATCTATATAAAATAAGAAACAAAAAGGTAAGGAAGCTAATAAATCCAAAACCTTCTTTAATTAAGTATTTGACCATATAGCTATTTCGGATTTCACCAAATATCTATTATCAGCGATCTTTGGAAGCAATTATTAACATCAAATATCCATAATTGAAACACAACATTATGCAGAAATTATAATACCCCATAAGGCGGTGATTATCACCGGGTCGTCGCGTGTAAGCCTGTCAAATATTGTTGTTGCCATAAGTAGTACTTATTTTTTATGCTTAGAATAGATTGTATATAAAAAGCAATTAAAAAAAAAAATTTAATATCCAATAAACATAAGTATTTAAAACATAATTAATAATACATATAATTTTTTATATAAATATATATATATTATCTATATAATTTATGAGCTTTATAAGATTGCTCAATACTTTAAACAATTTGAAAAATTTTATTAAGTTCTTTATTTTTAAAAACATTAAAATATCATAAGATTAAATTATAAAATAAAATTAAATTATGGATTATTTCATATCACACTTTTTACAGTTTTTTATATACAATTATTTTTCTACTTATATTATATGCAATAAAACTTATACACAGTTATATACCATATGCTACTCTAATTAAGATACTTTTTGAGCAAATTATGAAAATCCTCCCCTGCATTTTAATGTGTTTTATATGGCAAATCGCACTGAAAGTGAATATTAATTGAGGCGCATCAATGACACCATCGATGATATAAAAAGTTAACCACTAATAAATCCAAGTCAGTTAGTTCCAAACATTTGTGGATTCTAGTTGATTGTGATTCTATTAAACAAAATATTTTTAAAATGGCTTCAAAGGTGTGAAAAAAATATTTAAAAAAATATATTAAAAAGTTAAATTGTGCAACTATAAATATTATATATTAAAAATTAATAAAATTAATAAAAATATATAAAAATTATATGACAATTTTAAATATATATAGAAGTGAAACTAATAATTTCTAATTATTTTTAGTGCATTATTGTGTTGGCATTTATTGCTGTCGCCCATGCGGCTGTTGTGGCTCCTATCGCTCCAGTAGTCAGAGCTGTTGCTCCTCTTGCTGTTGCCCCAGCACCTGTCTTAGCGAAAACTGTTGAATTAGAGGAATACGATCCACATCCACAATACAAATATGGATATGATGTACAAGATACACTTTCAGGAGACTCAAAAGGACATATCGAAGAACGTGATGGCGATATTGTACGCGGTGAATACTCATTGATTGATGCTGATGGTTTTAGACGTATTGTCCAATACACTGCCGATCCAATCAATGGATTTAATGCTGTTGTACGTCGTGAACCCCTAGTAGCTGCTGCACCTGTTGTTGTTAATGCCGCTCCAGTAGCACCAGCTAAACTAACTTTTGCAGCTCCTGCAGTTGCCGTAAGAAATCTTTAAGCTCTCGGACTGTGACAATTTCTGTTTAGTATAAGACATAAAAGGACTCCATTAAAAAACAAATGAAATAAATGTGATTTTTGTATTTTAATATAAAAATTTGACTATCTTATTTTATTATATATAGTAGGTTTTAAAAAACCAAGATTCGTTTCAATTGGTAACTAAATAATCAGTCTTACACTTAAAGATTGGATTTTAAGATTCTTTACTTTATAGTCCTTGTATCAGGACTAAGATAAAATTTTGAAAGCGTTTAATAATTTTATAGCCATTGGCATAGTTGGACTATACCACATAAAATGTTTATATACCTTCTGCTCAAGAAGTATACGGATTTTGTTGTTTGTTAACTACTCCTTAAGTAATTTTTTGACCAAACACGGCACCATTGTCATCGCTCAGGCACCATATTCTCCAGATCTGGATCCATGCGATTTTTTCCTGTTCCCGAAACTCAAATTGCCACTTCGTGGTAAGCGTTTTGAGTCGATTTAATAAGTAATCATTTATGGTTACTCACATATATCTATGTGAGTAACCAACATAACAACTAAAGTCGCCACCAAAAAAGATGCAATTAATAAGTTTTCAAAGAATGTAAGATATCATTCCCAAGCAAAAAAGTCAAATTAGTTACCAAAATCAGCAAACAGTTAAATCTAACACCCTGTTAAAATACAGTTGAATATCGTCAGACTGATATATACTGCCATTAACATTAATGATAGTCATTAATTTAGATTAATAGATAGTTAAATTTAACACCTTGCTTAAAATGAAGGAGAATAACCTTAGTCGCCTTTTAAATATATAGAAATTGAACTCAATACTACAACAACGTTTTCTTAGTTCTGTAATCAGATATTAATGGATTAACACTTGACTCGTATGGAAGTCATAAATCTGGATCTATTAACAAAATTTAAAAAGCAGATTTAATCAGAAGCTTTTATCTAAAAATTTTTATATAAGATATAATATTTATAGTATCTTATATATTATAGCATCATAATAATATAGTACATGATAGCATTGTACATTATATTGTATTGTAATATTATATTATATGTGGAATGTCTTTGGTTCCTGTTTCCAGACATTTATTAAATACTGGCATTATCGGAACTGATAATTATTATTTTTTTCTATTCAATAACATGTTTTTAGAATACAATTCTGGCAATATATATATTTGATACATTTTACAATACCTCTTATAGACTAACGATTTAAGGATTTAGAATAAATGCATGACACAGCAAGGATTCCTTATCACATTCCTTATTATATATCCTAAAAAAATTGAATTTATAATATTTATAATTTTTATTTGATATATTTACATATAATTACATTATACTATAGTAGTTGCTTTTAATTGATTTATTTCGAAGTATTTTAAAAATAGACTCAATAATACTTTAGAAACAAGTTTTGCCTACACTGCAACCTACACACAATTGTGAAAGTAATTAAAATATATTTTGATAAAATTGCCCCCAGATAAATAAAATTAACCTCGGTTGTCTTACACAACCCCATTTTGCCATACCTGGTAAGATACATTGTTTTGCATACGACAGTAATCCCAATGCCTTATTGCATAAGAAATGCGATAAAGCAAAGAAAGCAAAACTCTCAAATGTACTTTTATCTTTTGCATAATTGTGTGAAATTAATTTGACAAAGTACAACTAATAAAAATTATTGATTTATCTGAATTCCTTGCAAAATCTGGTATAAATAGCGTCGGCGGAGGCTGTGATATTCATTCAATAGTTCACTTCACTTCATAAAGACAACACCGTATTACCTCAACTAAATACAGCAAAAATGGCATTTAAGGTAAAAATATTTATTTTAAAAAATTTTAAATAGATATAATTCAATTATTAATCCAATTCAAATATACCTTTATTCGGTACAATAGTTCGTTGCAGCTCTTTTATTTGTTAGCGCTGTTAGTGCTGGAATAGTTCCTGAAGTTTATCATTCCGCTCCTGTCGCATATGCAGCTGCACCAACAGTCGTGAAAACAGCTCATGTGCAACCAATTGCCATTGCACATGCTCAGCCAGTTTTAGCTAAACATGACGATGAATTCGATCCTCATCCACAATACAAATTTGGTTATGATGTTCAGGATGCTCTTTCTGGTGATACCAAGAGTCAAGTAGAGGAACGTGATGGCGATGTCGTTCATGGTGAATATTCATTGGTAGATGCTGATGGTTTCAAACGCGTTGTACAGTACACCGCAGACTCAGTGAATGGTTTCAATGCTGTTGTTAATCGGGTTCCATTGGAACATGCTGCCATTAAGACTGTTGTAAAGTCCGCACCTGTTGCTTATGCTGCACCAGCCACCACCATTGTTAAAGAATATCCAACACCTGTCGCTTACCATCAACATCATTAATCCTGAAATGTTACTTAAAAAGCATTTTTATGTTGTAAAATAATTGTTAATTAGTCAATAAATTTGTTATATATTCATTTTAAAGGAGCTTTTCATAAATCTTCCAAATTTTGGAACTGACTATTTAAAATATGAGAAACTAATATTTTCATGTTTGCATAGAAAGTAAACTCGAGGAGAAAAAATAGTTGAGAATTTAAAAATTTTATATTTTTTTACCCAGCTTACACACAAATGTGATGATTATAGTGCATATTTTATTGAAATTTAAGATCACTCCTTATTTCCGAACTATTTTCGAACCTCAAAAACCAATATCTCTAATGATGACTTGGAAAGCAATAGTTTGCGGTACGATAATTTGCCACAGAGTTCTGTCATTATAATTGGTTCCAATTAATAGGGAAGCCTACCGCCTTTGTTACAGTAATATTATAAAAAATTTGTACCGCTAAAAAGTCTCTAAGGAAACGAGCAGTAACATAATAAATCTATCTTTAAATGAGCATACAATAAATAATAGTACCGCATTATTTTTATATTGTAAAATCGAAATCTTAAGATTTTTCTTCTAACTAGAGTATAGATAAGCTATCTGAATATATACATCGGGTAAAACTTAAGAAGAGTACTGAAATTTTTGCTATAATAATTAACTTAAAGTTAATTTTTGATTTTGAATGAAAACAAAATGCAAAAAAGCAAAATTATATTAATTTGGTATAATTACTCTCCTTACTTAACTAACCTGACTTAACCCGTTATTGGATTTCGACCAGAGGTAGCACTCCTCTCAAGCACGACTCGAGTTTTCTCCACACTCAGACTTGATCACTCTACCAAAGACACGATCTGCCTCTATGACTTCTTTCTCCAACTGCTTCTTCAAATACTATTTTTGCTTGAGTATTGTCATTCACGACATGACTAAGTGAGCAAGAACGCTGGATGTTAATTGGACGAATAATATCTGTGTTGACAAGTTCCTTACAGCACGTGGTTCATTCAGATGCGATACTCGTCGTCAACTCGTAAAGAAGCAAAGATCTTACAAAGAAGTTTTCATTTTGCCTTTATTCACCATTAAGCCTAAGCCTATATAGCAGAAATGACAGCAGAAATATCACGCTTGTTACGCCCAATGCGGTAGACTGCGTCGACATAAGCGAGAAACTGAACACATTTGAAGAATATGAAATATACAAAATTCAGATATTAAATAAATAAATAAAAATTAAATATTTGAGACTTTAATCGTTAACATACATAATATTCATTAAAAATTATCTAAAGCGATATTTATCCAGAAATCCGAAACGGTTCAAATAAAGTTATTCCACAATTTCGATTAATTTTTCTATTATTATGGTTTAAATATTCAGATTATTAATAAAAACCAAACAACTATTTTTAGTTTTTTCTTAAGTAAATACAAATACTGAGTTGAAAGGTTTTTGGAGCAATCCCTTTCCGATCGCCTTTCTTGCGAAATCGCTTAGATAATCTTGAAATAATCTTTAAATTAATATGTGTATACCGCGTTCATGTCCATTATTATTTTGGTAATTTGAGGAGGTGCGAGCGAAATGATCAAATTCAATTATCCAATAATAATTGATCATAATGTGAGTTATTTAAAAAGTAATCAAGCTATCGTATGATCAATCGAGTGGTAAGTGCAACATAAATCTTAAAGGTCACACATCAGATAAGTAAAATTGTATACATAGCGGCAGTAACATAAGTATGGACGAGTATGCCTCCTCACAGGTGCACAAAAATTAGCTCCGACTTTTGCTGCTTCAGTTGTGACAACATAATTTACGGTGGCTGCCGCATTACAGTATCGCAGGGATTTGTTGTAACCATGCCGTCATGTCCAAATAACCGAAACAAGTGATACAACCGAAAAACCAGTTAACCAAATCTTCCCAATACTTTGAAGCGGAGACTTGAAGGCATATTTTGGCAGCGAAGTGTTAAGGTCAAAGTCAGTTTTTGTTGTTGTTAATTACCGTTGAATTGTGGCTTTAGCATTCATTGTGCGTTTAGTAATTCCCATGAAAGCAACCAAGTGTTTTTTATAAGCGAATGCGTATGTAAACAATAAAGACGCCAATAATGCCTCAATTACAATTACAACAAACAAGTGAAGAGCCAACAAACAAAAAAAAAAACATTAACACATATCTTACCAAGCGAACATTTTAGACTTTATACCTTCTGCACAGAAATCAAGTAAATTCAGAAAGTTATTCGCATTAAAGCTTATAGTACTCTACACTCGGTTTACTTCACCCTAAAGCTGAACATATAGTGAAAAAGTATATTTATTTTAATAATATAAATATATAGGAATATAAGAAAATATTTTTTTTTTTGTTTTAGAAAATACAAAAAAAAATTTATGTAGAAATTAAACATTTTTAAAATATAGAAAAAATTTTTTTACAAAATGTTTTTTTAGATACACTTTTATTTGATTTTCTATATCAAAGAAAGTATTGATTATATAGAGCCCTTATTTAAATAATCTGTTTCGTTTTTTGGGCTAATGAATTATATCGAAACTATGCTTTATAAGTATATATAATCTAAATGTTTATAATCAATAAGGTAGTGGAAAAAAATATAAACTCAGAAGCTTTATAAATTACACTTATTTATAACTGATTTGTTATATTATATATTAACATTATTTGTATAATACTATAACAATAATTATTATTAATTATAATAAATATAACTGTTATATAATTTTAATAATATTTTAACTGTACAATTATTTATACAATTATTAAAACTAATAATTCAAAATTCACATTTCTAAAAAATGTTTACTGTAAATAATATCACAAAATGGGTTCTGATATCCATTTTTATCAAACTTTTTTACCCTGTGAATCTCTTTTTCAAATATCATGGTGTGTTTTACCCATGTTTATTTATAATCTACAAACAGAGTCCGAAACAGCGTAAATTTGTTAAAAAATAATACCAAAGATTCAGTTAAATACATATAGTCATTGCAAGAAATATTGCTGTTTATATTATCACAAAATTAGTTAACTGTTAATATTATCACAATTATTGCGTTTTTTTAATTGTATAACAACCTACTCATAAAAATTTTAAAATGACTTTAATTTGTTAATAGAATATACATCAGACACACTATATAGTATGAATTTTTTTGTTTAACTAAGTCAGCATTCTGTTCTTCCCTCTGTAAGAACTTGTGTATGGAACATGCTTTGGTGGCATTTAATTGGACTCAGAAATATACTGTTTTGGAGACCTTATACCGATTTTTCAGATATAGGACTATGAAACTCTAATATAAATAAATACAATTTATTTGCTTATTAGCGAATACTGACTTTTTTGAGCAACATGATCGTAGTTACATACACGATGCGTAACATCATTAAAAAATACCTTCACAATAATATATATACTAGTTTTTGTTAGTGTTATCAATATAAAATCGAGAATAAAGCTATATTGCGCAGTGAAAAAACTTTCTTAAAATATTAAAATTTACTGATATTCCTGGAAAATAGAAATATAGTTGAAATATAGTTCATATAGTTGATAAAATTAGAATGATTCTCAGTTGTATTGGGAAATAATTAGACCTTCTGATGAGATTTCAGATTGATAGTACCCCTAGTCAAAGTTCTTTCAAAATACTTTTGTCTTGCAATAAACTACAAAAAAACTTAATTATCAATTTGATTAGAAAAAAATATTTCAGACCCAATTCAATAAATATGTTGTTATCATTTAAAAATGTATGGATATTCTTCTACATTTTACAAGTAGGTGAAATCTATTGAAACAATAATATTATGCTAAAAAGTTATAACCAACATTGACGTTTTCAGTTCAAACTTTTTTATTCTAAACTAACTAAAATGACAAACAACTGTAGCGTGGTTTCAGAGTCAGCAACACCAATCAATTATTTATAAGCTCGTGAACATATGTAAACGCCATTTGTTGTCATTTTATTTGATTTTCTTTTTAATTTTAATTCACTTTTAAATAATTTATTTTATTTTCTTTTTTATTTTTTGTTTTTTGTGTATCAGAATTTTAGGTATTAAAACCATTTAAAGTAGATCATCATTGCCAAAGTCATCGCGACTATCGGCCATTAAGTTCGACCTTGACTTACAACAAAACCGAGAGTGAATTACTTGCCAGTAATTCATTTTAATTTGAGTTAAATTTTGGTTAGCAAGTAATCAAAACAGTTTGCAGTTATCATAAATGCATTTACATGTTTACATCTACATCAACAAATTTATAAGAGAATAGATAAGAGAACTTACCCATTTCGGGAAATTCCCTCAATTTTTAATAAAGTGAATGCATTCCTTTTACTTTTTGCCAAATCTTCTCCATATTTACATGCGTGTCAGGGTCAGATATAATGAAATTCTTAGGTAAGTGGAGTTTTATTAATTGCAGCTTAAGCCTGGATTTATGACAACTGATATTACCGCTAAGTATGGCTTTACACATTTAACAAATATTCAAGCGTTTACACTTATGTTAAAAAAACATTAAGAGCAAAAAAAATGTGTGGTTTAATATGTACGATTACGGGTTTATGTTTCAAAAATTATTATTAAACAGAAATTTAACAATATTTTTGCTTTTAGTTTTTCAAGATATTTTAATACATTATCATGCTCTGTTGGGATTAAAGTCGTAGATATTTTATATAAGCAATTTTATTATTTCTTTTTTTCAATTTTTGAAAAAAAAATGGTGCAGTATAACCTATGTCACGTGTTGTGCTCCCCCTTAAAAGAGTCACGTAAGCTAACCCGAACAGATAAGAGATTTCATTCAACCTTCCAATACTTTTTCAATATCTCAAACCTTATTTGGTATTATGAAACCCGATTCCACGCTGTTTCATTGTTGGAGGATGTGACCAGATAACATGATATACAGGACGATGATAGTCTTTTAGTCATATTTTTACTAAGTAATATGTAACAGGAATATTTCCAATTAAGCAGTTAATGATTGATCTGAATTTAGATGTATTTTGATTAAGTAATTCTGGACTTAAATTCTTGTTTTGACTAAGTTATTAAAATAAAGGAACCTTTGAAAACCTATCTTTTCAAAAGTCACTACATATTTTAACATATAATCGGGTTAAAAGTGACTAACATTCGCTAAGAGGCTTAATAACTCCTTCGTATTGATTTGACCTAAAATAACTTGAAATAAACTGTTAATTTAAATTCTTAAATTAAAGTTAGTAGAGGTAGATAACATTAGTTTTACAAAAATAATTTAATACTATTCTTGTCCTGTTATTTTTTGTATCTAAACTTTATATAAAAATTAATCCAAAAAATGTTAAAAAAAATTGTAAAGTTTTATATAATACTTTTATTATTAATATTATATATTTTCTATATTTCTTGTAAAATATTATGTGGAAACTTAACTGCTATTTAATCGGTAAAATTATTAAAAATATTGTTTAATTTTTGTATATAAAAAATGATATTATATTGCAAATAAGTAGCATATGATTGGATAATGTGACATCATACTAACTGTAGTAAGAGTAGAAAAATGGATGACTAAGTTCTACCGATATCGCAAAAGCTTACAAACTGCCTTCTTTAAAGAAAACATATTGCTATTCTGAATTTCTAGTTGGTAACTGAAGGACCTTTATTCAAACCTGTGTACAGACTTGGTACTTGAATTCACTGATAACATGGCTGTATAATTTCAATTTATTATTGTGCGAATGCGTGCATATCTGTAAGTAGGGTGTAGTCTGCTTATGCAAATAGTTGATGTTAAAAAGTTTTAGTACCTTCTTGCGTATGTATATACTTCTATAAGTTCTCAATACTAATACCGCTTAGTATATCTGTTGACCTGACATAACAAGGCATTTACGCGAACTTTTCAAGCACTTCGAACTGGCATAACTAAAGATATTTGAGAGTAGTTTTAAGAGCCATGGTAGGGTCGAAATCAGGGGCAGGGATCTTGCATACGCTTTGGCGTGGGATTTTCCACAACGAACGCAACGGCGTGTGAAATTAAAAAGTTTGGCGTTGTGGTAATATCTCTGACAATTGGAATAATTCAGGAAATGAGATTTACGCACTAAGAAGATAATGAGGTTTAGGGCGGGGGTCTGATGACACTATGGCAGTGGCTGAAGCTGATTGCAACTCATAGAAAGTGGCATACCTGCCAGTGTTACGCTTGACAACGTGAGAGGTGATGAGAATTTCACAATCTTCAAAAACGGAAACTGCAGAAGGTCAGCCACTAGGGCGGATGTAAGTTCCTCCTCATCGTAAGATGAGGAAAAGTTTATCCGGAGAACTGTGGTGATTCGGTCCTCTTGACCGATAGTGACATAAGAGGAGATTTGCTTTTCTTTAAAAGGCTCGTAATTGTTATGAAAGGAATGCTTGTCGTTATCCTCCGTCACAGGCAGTGTAGGCTATGGTTTACTATTTATTTGTGGTTGTTTGATGTACATGTTGTTCTTCACGAAAATTTTTTGTTGAAGAGTGAAATTTACTAGGATATCCCTCTATGTTATACGAGCGGTACTAACACGTAATCCTTGATTATGTTTCCTGATAAATTGATTAGAATAGATTTAGATTTTTACTGAGAGATTTTTGTTTTAAAGTTTTGCAAATAATACAGCAGTGCGTCTATGTGATTTTGTATGTATCGTTTCACCAATCATTTTCCTCAGCTAAATTAGGCGATCTTCATAATTTTCCACTAATACTGACTTTGCCCTCCACAAACAGCTCAAGGTTCGTGAGTTTTCCTTATAGGTACGTATATAATTTAACAAAAACTGTTTTTTTCGTATCAAAAATATATTCTAATATATAATACAGTTAAAAAAAAAGAAGAAAAAATATTTTTAAGCAAATTATATTTGCTAGACTTCCACGTATTTCGTCATAAACACAGAACAAAGAAATTCATAGTATTTGTCAAAGTATTGTTTACATAAAAATTTCTATTGAAAATATTTATTTTAGCTAAAAAACTGCACATAAAACTTTTTTTAATTAAAAATTAAAAAAAGAAGTAAAAAAATAAAATATTTTGTATATCGTTAATCTGCAGCAAACGCCTACCTTTATTTTATTAAGAATAATGTATAGTATGAGCTGACAGTTGACGTCACTATTGTGCGCATGAAGAGCAAGAACTCTATGTATTGTCTAGTTAGTCATAGAGTTTGACATTTAGGTCCTGTATGTGCACTGCAGGTGGTACAGATGAATAAGCAGCAAAAGGAATTCTGCAGTGAATAAGATGAACGCGTGTCTTCTGGTGCTGCCTGCAACCAAAGTGGAAGATATGTGATATGGTGCCAAATAAAGGTGTGTCACATAGGAACGCTTGACAGCAAATGTATTTAACTTAATGTAACAGCTCTTTTCCTATCAAATGCTAACTACATGCGTCATACTTTACAAGTAACATTTCTGTAGTAAATTGACTTCAATTAATATTAATATTTATTATAACAGAATTCAACGAAGCTCTTATTACAGTGGATCACCCAAATGGTCACAGACACTTGAAGACTTATTATTAAATAATAAAAGTGTTTACTTGTTTTTGGTGTTTGGTTTTTTTATTTTCTTATAAATCTATTAATCACATCATTGACTCAGAAAAATTAACAGGCGAATGTCGTCGTGAACTTATCTAATAAGCATAAGAGATAAGTGGGGAGGCGAAGCTAGTTTTCACAATAGCTGGACCGGCAGCAACTAGTGGAGCTGCTCTGACAACTGGAGCGGAAACAACTGGGGCAGAAGCAGCAACAATTGGAGCTGGAGCGGCAGCATAAGCAAGAGGTGCTGGGGCAGCAATAGCAGCTACCAATGGTTCACGACGGACGACAGCATTGAAACCATTGATTGGATCGGCAGTATAGTCAACAATACGTCTATAACCATCAGCATCATTCAATGAGTATTGGCCTTGTACTACACCACCATCGCGACTTTCGACTTGAGTTTTTGAATCACCAGTTAAAGCATCCTTGACATCATAACCGTAGGTGTATTGTGGATGAGGATCATATTCTTCAACGCGTGCTGCAACAGCAAGTGGTGCAGCAGGTGCAATGATACCAGCACTGGCGACAGCGATGCAGGCAGCGAATAAAATGGTGAACTGAAAGAACAAATAAAGGATAATTTACACAATTATTTCACTTTCAAGCACTGCAACTCAAAATTTTTGAACTGAATTAGTATTTTATTATTCAAAAGCACTTTTAGCTTTGACACTTTTTCACTGATATTCAGTATAAATTTTTTCCTTTTCACACATTTATTGCTTAATATCCTTAAGATTCTTACTTTGAATGCCATTGTTGTTTGTTGGTTTGTTTTTTTAGTTGCTCTATTTACCGTAAATGGAATTGAACTGTTTTGAACACGGGCCAAGTGGGCTTTTTATACAAGTTATCAAAATGAACTTATCGAAGTTTGGCGCGTCCACTTACGCCATTTAATGACAGCAACACGACGTCAACATAAAACGCTTCTGTATGAATTCGATATGAAATAAAGCCCACTAACATCAGATATGGACGCATACAGTCACAGAGCCAAGGCTGCAGGCATATATGACAAAACTTTTGTCTTCGATTGAATTCCAATTTGGCGTAATTGTCTAAAATTAAAATTAGCTCTAGACGCTCTGACGAACCTAAGCACGTTAACGCTATTAAGACAAAACTAACCGCGTCTAACTACTCACACATGCACTCCTACATGCGCTGACTGTAGATACTAATGTATCTAATATCGGTTAGTAAACTCACGCGGCCGCTGACTGCAGAATTTGTGTTGGTCAAGAGCTGCGTCGACTGGGCGCTTCGGCAGCCAATAACGCATGCAGTTCATGTACAAGTGCATAAAATTACATATTAAAAAGTGAATTACGCTGGACGCATTATTTACAATGAATATTAAATTCAAATCAATAAAATTTCAATTTCGTTCATTTCGACGCTTATTGCTCCATCACGTTGCCCTTTAAAGCCACTCAGTGTGTTTACTGGAACGAGCAAACGCAGCTTAAGAAGTTCGGAAACAAGTATTTCGTATCTTGTATTTCCTATAATTAATTTGTGCAGTGGTATAGGTGGAACTACTGCTACAAGTATCGATCTATCGCATGACCAAGAATACCGAGGTGTCAACTACAAGTTTGTAAACAATTTTGTCATGACAAGACACAAAAGATTTTCGTGTGAGCATACAAAAGCTTTGGTATTCAATACGGAAAACGAAATTGCTTATTACTTTTGTTTTGCTATCAGATTTTGGTATGTCAATAACCCTTAAAATATCTCATTTCAATTAAATCGTACAAAAGTTTAATGATTAAAACCATTGATAGCGTTCAACACATTTTGAAACGGAGCCTTGAATGAAATAATAGGATTTACTCATGTTTCTGTTTTCGATATTCTTTATGAAAAACAATTTCGATTTTTTATTTATAAAATATTTGAATAAAACTATTTTACGGTTTTCAATTATACAGAAGATAAAAATATAAATACAGGTTGCTGTATAAATTAGCTAACAAGTACGCCAGATGTGAACTACTAGACATTAGCATTTTTATGTACAATAGTCATTGTGGAATCAATATGAGTACAATATCAATACTATTTGAAGTACTCCTCACTAACAACTAGAATAGTTAAAACTTGAAAGCACTTACATATTCTATATAAATGCATTTGGTGTATTGGAAGATAAAAGAATAGACTACTAGCAGTCAAACGGACAAGTAAAGTTTCTCATTTATACCCGTAGATACTGAAGATATATTAGCGCAATATATCATAGTTAATAATTATAATATATGTAAATAAAATAATATACTGAACATAATATGTTCATATTGATTTAAATTGATTTAAAAGATCATTTTGGGATTGCATCCAGAACGATAAACGTTATATTCATACGTACTCTCCTACGCCTCCTGCGAGTGGAGGTGGTTGTTCACCAAACCGCCATTGTATTTATAAGTAGTCTTATTCAAGAATAAATATGTGCTTTTAACATTCTCTAAAACGGATATCAAATCAGGAACTTCAAAACTTGTACTACATTAGACGTATCTTCTAGCGAATGTTTAAAGCACGTGCATATTGTTCAAAATGAAAAATTACTTATGAATAAAATGGAGGAATTGTGAACAATCACCTTCACTCGCAGTAAGCGGAGCCCCTTAGTAATATATATAATAATAATTAACAGAATACATATAAGTTCAGGTTAGGTTTGGTTATACAAAGGATCCACTTAGGCCTGTTGGCCTATTATATTAGCATATATACATTGTGACCGAAAAGCTTTCGGAAATTCTCATTTAAAATTCGCGCGCTGTATATTTTTCGATATTTTAAGTTTATGTAGTTTGGCAGCAATTAAGGACAATTACTATGCCAAAAATGAGCGCGATCTGTCAGACAGTTCGTTTACGGCAGCTGTTTAAACCAGTTCACCTCAGTAGTGCGTTGCGAAAAAAACAATGGAAAAAAATATTGAACAAAGAGTTTGCATCAAATTTTGTGTTTCGAACGAAATTTCGTGTGCAGAATCTTTGCGAATGCTACAAAAGGCTTATGGGGAATCAGTTTTATCGAAAACTCAAGTTTATGAGTGGTACAAAGCCTTTCAGGACGGTCGTACGACCGTCGAAGACATGCCGCGTTCTGGACGACCTTCGACCTCTACCCCCGACGAAAACATTGAAAAGGCAAAGGAAATCGTGTTCCAAAATCCTCATGTGAGTGTTAGAGAGATAGCACGAGAGCTAGGCATCGGTCGTGAGATGGCTCGTTTGATTTTGGTGGAAAATTTGTGTATGCGACGTGTCAACGCTCGGCTTGTTCCGATTCACCTCAATTTGTTCCAACATTATCAACGATTTTAAGGCCAAACATTCAATAAATACCATCGAACAGCCACCGTATTCACATGATCTTGCACACCGTGTGAATTTTTCCTGTTTCCCAAACTCAAATTACCACTCAGAGGAACGCGTTTTGAATCCATAGAAGACGTAAAACAGAATTCGCAGAGGGAACTCAAAGCAATACCGGAAAGCGCCTATAAAAAATGTTTTGATGATTGGAAGAAACGTTGGCATTTGTGTATCGCTTCTAATGGAGCATATTTTGAAGGAGATAAAATAAATATTGATGAAGATTAAGAATTTTGCGTTTTATTTAAAATTTTCCGGAAACTTTTCGGTCACAATGTAAAATCAAATGTTTAAAATAAACTTAAGAATTTGGCAAAGTCTAACATACTGCCCAAGATCTTTCATAAAGAGAATCCCTACTATAGTCACTCGGCGTCATACAAGCACTGAGCAATAAGCAGATGTGACGCACTTTATCCTCCTCTCCACAGCTCTGATAGAAATGATTATATGGAAATTTTAATCTTCTAGCATGTTTCTATAATCGGCTGTGACCTGTCATCAACCCCATCATAAGACTAATAACTTCACGGCATTTTAATGAAACTGCTAGATTTTTTCTGAATAGAACATGGAGAATTTTCAACAGTTGCTTGCCCATCCTTTTTCCATCTTGAATTAAATAACTCAACACACAGAGAATTCAACGAGTTTGCATAATTTCAGTGATATGCTCGGATTCTACAGTTGATCGGAATGATTACTTGAAGCCCAACGTCCGGGCGAAGAAATCTGTGTGAGCAGGAGCTCAGCGTAGAGAAATATTAAACTGTTTCGACATCTCACATGCAATAATCTTTAGTAGTCAAAAACCGTTAATATTATAAATATTATTCTTTTCTAGACAAGCTATAGCTTTTCTAATAGCGGGCACTTTCACCTGAAAAACACTGCAATGATCAGGAAGAAATGATTATGCGTGGCTTTCCTAGGCATGAGACTGCCGTAACAGAGTTATAGAGAACTTGCTAACAAAAATATTACCAACCAGGTGTTCATATTAATAAGCAAAACATAATAAAATTACAAAGAGAGTACATGTTTATTTGTATGCTTGTGTAAGATTTCGAAGTCAAAAACGCTTATTGATCGCAATAGCCACAACTCATTGTGGATAACTCAAAACGACCACAACACGAAATTCTTGTTACATTTAGAAATCTAGTCGCAAGTCATTAGGGGTAACTAAGAACGACAAGGAATCGAAATCCATGTTATGGATTTAGAAATTATATCACTCGTTTTGAATAGTTTTAAATATAACTATGAAACGACAACCAATACTAAATATTACATAATGTAGTAACCAATGTTGCTATCTTGTTGATATGAAACTTCTCTTTGTTGTTGTTATTAGTGATATTTCGGTCCTTGATCGCTTCATAGTTACATTCGATGCCATACAAGCCCCGTTCAAATATTTCTTAAAGACCAATGAGGAATCTCATATGTAGTGACTGTTTTAGTAAGTGCCACAACACGAGTTTCTAGTACTGGCTAAATGAAGTCACTGGTGTTTGGGAGAAATATTGAAACGGTGTTCTATATTCTGACAGTAAAAAATAAAAGAGTATTATTTTAGTATTTTGAACATTTATTTAATCAAACTTTGAATAACAACAAAAAATTCAGGTTATAACAAGTAAAAGTCAACAAGCATCATCAATTATCAATCGGAACTGCCTTAATAAACATACGAGATATGAGGTGAGGATAACGATGTTTTGACAACAGCTGGAGCGTGATGGGATATAATAGCTGAACCAGCTCTCAATACAGATGTAGTGGCGGGTGCATGGTGTACAATATGTGCTGCTGCTGGAGCATAATGAACGGTTGGAGCTGCATGAACAAGAGCATGTGCTGGTGCATGGTGAACTACAGTTGAGGAGTGAGATTTTGGTTCAATGGCATGAACGTAGTGTGTAGGTGCTAAATGTAGAGCTGGAACTGATGTCTGGATGAGAGCTTGAGCTGGAGCATGATGTAAAACTGTTGGTACAACATGAGCTCGTGCTGATTCAACAATATTTGACTTGAGTTCAGGTACCCGATAAGTTGGTAACGAGAGTAAAGCTAATTTTGGTTTTTGTACTGATGCAGGAGCTGGTATTGAAGGAGCTGCTTTAACTGGTGCCGGAAGAGCAATTGGAATAGATTTTGGTGAAATTGGTTCACGGCGTACAACAGCATTAAAACCACTCTCTCCTTCAACGGAATACTCAACAATACGTCTATAACCATCTGCTTCATCCAAGGAATATTGACCTCTTACCACGTCACCATCTCTAGTTTCAGATTGCGCTTTATTATCGCCAGTTTCGATATCTTGTACCTCATAATTGAAACTATAGTTAGGATGTCCCTCGTATTCTTCAGCCCTCTCCTGGCCAACAGGTAATAATCCAGCAGTAGCTACAGCTACACAGGCAAGAACTACAACGAACTAAAGAAACATTTTTCGTTTAATAAAAAAATCAATAAAATTTACTTCAAATTGAGTTTTTACCTTAAAAGCCATTTTAGTAATTTATTTCTCTTGTTAATACGTGTTGAATGAAGTTGTGAATTGAACTGATATCTCCTTCGAAACTGATTCAGTTTATATATAACTCACAAGTTGCAAATTATTTTCCTTTTCCAGCAGTGCGAAATGCTAGCTGCTTTGGTAGCCAATTGACCCAATGCCATCGTTAAAGGAGCTCTTATCGATAAACGAATTGTGGCAAGGTCATTGAATTAAAGTTGCCCCTAACCAAAATGTTAACTCTTGCTTTTGATTTTACTTTTCATTTGAGCGCCGATGCGGTTATCACTGACGTCACGAACTAAAGAATACCGGCACCGAAAACCAGACCAACGTAACCTGTTCCTTTCTCGGACACAACAATGAGAAACGCATACGAGCGTGTAATTAGAACTGAAAGCATCTTCTGATGGCCATTGGGAGCGCTTCACATGTGATTCCTCTGGTTCAGTGTAAACTGTCAATTTTTAAATTTATTATTGCATTGTTTTGCCATTGTGAACTCAAGCTTAATTTTTAATTATACAGAATTGTGTTTGGAACACGCAAAATTTTGAATGACTGTAATTTTCTTTAATTATGACAAATTAAACAAACCGTAAAAATTGACTTATAAACAGAAAGTCAACTTATATCCTTTATAGCAGAACTTCGTAAAATGTATCAATTACAAGTATGATTTAGGTTAAGGATATTGCCTGATTTACATGTGAAATTATAAGTTGCCAGTTGAACATCCTTTAATGGTAAGCTTAAAACGTTTAGATATTTAAATGATTTCGTTATTTTTTTTTATTTTTAATCTATCTATGCAAACATGTCATGTAATTTAAAATAAAAGTATGTAAAGTAAAAGCAATTTTTTCTTATTTACTTATAAATGTTATCAAGGTATATATTATATATATTATTCCCATTACATTATGTCAGTAGAGTACTTAAAATGTAGTCTGTTATTTGTTATAGAATTTGATTATAATAACATTAAATTAGTATTTTAATTATTCGCAATGATTCAAGCAACGCGAAAAGTGTCTATTAATTGCCAAAGATTAATTTAATTTGTCTATTAATTGTATAGATTGCATTAAAATGAAGTTCAGAGTTTTGAACAAGTTTTATCACACAGAACTGACACCCGATCGAAATATCAAGGACTCTTCCTTTATGCTTTACTTTATAATTTTAATATTTTTCTTCCGCAATATATAATACTATTAATATATATAATACTAGTTTTGTTACAAATCCTTTTCCATATAATATAGAATAGTCTGAAGAAAATGAAAAATATTATGTACCTTATGTTCTAGAAGAAGAATTATTATTTGTTTCATTAAGAAATATGGGAAGAATTTAATCGATATTAAATTAATCGGACTAATTTTATCTTAGTCAAATTATTAAAAAAATTATTCAATTCATATATTCTTAGAAAATTACATATTTAATCATCAATCGGAACTGCCTTAATAAACATACGAAATATGTTAAAAAGTTTCAGTTTTCAGTTTTGGAATTGAAAACATTAGGTTAGGTTAGATTAGGTTACTGGGGCCGTCCGAAGACTCACTTAGACCATGAGGTCCATTGTGATACCCTACAGACACCCGTCCCTATAACCATTTGGTACTGGCCACAAAGCCACTGACACGAGCTATGGAAATAGAATCTAGCTCTCTTAGTGAATTGAAAAAGTGTGATCCTAAGTAGGAGAGTCTATGTCTTGCGAAAGCAGGACACTGTAGTAAAAGGTGTATCGGTGATTGAAAACATTAAATCTGGCTTAAAATTTCACCAATAATTTCACCCCAGTTATTTTTTTAAAATAAATACTTTTTTATTAGCTTCAAATTTTTTTTTAAAAGCCCGTCTAACATAATTATTCGTATGCGCCCTTAAAGAAACACTTTTCTGAAAATATTATTTACAGCAAATCTAATTAAATATTAAGAGTTTTCTATTATATTATAGACATTATACTTCTATTTAAAAATATACATACAAAACTAAATTAAAATTATTCAATACAAAATGAATATACATTTTATAGAAAATCTTATAATTTTACCCAAAAGTATACTGTAGAATACTACCAGCTGCAGCAATTTTAACAGTGCGCTGCTACCAATTCTGTTATTAACATAAAATTAATGTGAAGCATATTTAACAACTAACATAACATGAGTGGCATATGAGCAGTACCATATAATTTGTATATATTTAATATCTTAAACTATAAATCCACAAATCTTAAATTTTTATATGTATAAATATATATAAAAAATCTTAAACAAATACTACATAACAAACACTAACTATAAATTACTCCCTAACCGAAAATCTCTCTTTAAGTTAACGGCAATGGTGTAATAGTAATAGTTAATGGAATTATTTTGTAATAATTATGAAATTATTAATTTTATTTAAATAATTAAAAATAATATATTAGTAAATATTAATGTATATATTTTATACATAAAGTGTAAAATATATATATATAGAGATTTAAGTACAAGTACTATATGAAATTATTATAGAGATCTAAGAATCAACTCAGTGAAAAAATATATGTTATCAAGGACAGAGCCCTAAAATTATTCATAAAAGTTGATACGTTGCCCAACCCCGTTCTATCAAAACTTAAGTCAACGTCAAGACGCACAGGAAGATATGCTGATCTACGGTCCGTCATTAGTTAGAAGATAAATAAATGATAATGATTCTAGTATAGTTAAAGTTTAGTGTGGGGCAGGGATAAGTCCTCCAGCCACATAAGAGTAAAAGAGCGCAATAGCACTACCTCAAATCACAACAACAACAAGAAATCATTAAAATATTTTTTTTATATACTTTATATCCGGCTACTGGTCACCTTTTTTAAATTAAACGCTTGTTTAATATTTTTTAATATATTCCATATTTCGACTCTCCTTGAGAGTCATAAGCAGGATAAGAACTAATTATCTTATCCAGATAATTAATTTATTAATAGAAATATAGATCACATTAAAAAAAATTAAACAAATGTTTAATTTAAAAAAAGCGACCTGTAGTCGGAAATAAAATATATAAGAAAACATTATTAATTAAATTTAATTAAATTTTTTCTAAAAAGTTATTTTTTTAAAGTTTTTTCAAATATAATCACTTGTCCATTTTATCTAAACCTTAAGGCGATCATTTTCAAGTCCGGGTTTATTCCATTTATTAATTCATTTTTCATTTAATGATATGGAACAAAACTTCATAGTTTAATAAAAAGAATATAATTTCAGTCTCACATGCTCCTCAAAGATCTACATAAATTTTTATTTTAATTTAAATTTTAAACTATTTAGTTTCATCTACATAATGTTGATATTTTACTTATTGTTAAGATTAAGCAATATTTTATCGCTTATCCGTTAGTTTTCATCACGACGGGTAAAATTTCTGCTCAACGGATTTTTAATAAATAAATTCGTTATCTCAACCTAGCCATGATCTATCCATAATGGTCATCTTAATATTCTACAAAGTGTGTGAAAATATCTGGGCTATCCGGCTGTTAAATCAATCCTTCAAACTCTGAAAAAACTTTTACAGAGTCCAATGAAATAAGGAATAAATATATCTACAGAAAATTGTCTAGGTTTTAATGGAGTTATTGAATTTTGATAAAAGAAATCGAAAATTCATTTCAACATTATATATATTTAGACAAGACAACGTCGCGCTTCATATTACATACTTCCATTTTGTATTATTTATGCAGTTGCTATATTTTTAATTATCTTTAACTTTAAGGCATATATTAAATATCAATTTAAACTTTAAGAAGAGTTTTCAAAATATTTCCAGTAGATTATTTAATTTTATGAATTTAAATATTTAATTGTGCTTCATTCTAGCAATTTAAAGCCAAATTCAAGCAATAAAATTGAATATACATTGTGACCGAAAAGTTTCCGGAAAATTTTAAATAAAACGCAAAATTCTTAATCTTCATCAATATTTATTTATCTCCTTCAAAATATGCTCCATTAGAGAGCGATCAACAAATGGCCAACGTTTCTTCCAATCATCAAAACATTTTTTATAGGCGCTTTCCGGTATGGCTTTGAGTTCCCTCTGCGAATTCTGTTTTACGTCTTCTATGGATTCAAAACGCGTTCCTCTGAGTGGTAATTTGAGGTTGGGAAACAGGAAAAAGTCACACGGTGCAAGATCAGGTGAATACGGTGGCTGTTCGATGGTATTTATTGAATGTTTGGCCTTAAAATCGTTGATAATGTTGAACAAATTGAGGTGAATCGGAACAAGCCGGGCGTTGACACGTCGCATACACAAATTGTCCACCAAAATCAAACGAGCCATCTCACGACCGATGCCTAGCTCTCGTGCTATCTCTCTAACACTCACATGAGGATTTTGGAACACGATTTCCTTTGCCTTTTCAATGTTTTCGTCGGTGGTAGAGGTCGAAGGTCGTCCAGAACGCGGCATGTCTTCGACGGTCGTACGACCGTCCTGAAAGGCTTTGTACAACTCATAAACTTGAGTTTTCGATAAAACTGATTCCCCATAAGCCTTTTGTAGCATTCGCAACGATTCTGCACACGAAATTTCGTTCGAAACACAAAATTTGATGCAAACTCTTTGTTCAATATTTTTTTCCATTGTTTTTTTCGCAACGCACTACTGAGGTGAACTGGTTTCAACAGCTGCCGTAAACGAACTGTCTGACAGATCGCGCTCATTTTTCATAGTAATTAAGGAAAGTGTGCCAAACTACATAAACTTAAAATATCGAAAAATATACAGCGCGCGAATTTTAAATGAGAATTTCCGAAAGCTTTTCGGTCACAATGTACTATAATTGAACATTTTTATACAGAAAGGTAATTAATTTAATGGTTTTAATTTTGATTAGCACCACTGTTTCAGTGACATTTGTGAAACAAAAGCGTCATCCAAGGCATCAAATATTTGGTTATATACTTAGTTATATA